CCTCTTGGTTCAAGTATAGGTTTCTCATTAGCATGATCAGGTGTTCTAGGATTCGTATTCTTCTCAGAGTCAGCCACAGTTATGGTCCACACAGTCAAACGCCCTTGCATAAAAAATGAAGCACAGATAGAAATTCCTGTGGTACTCCCTGCTTTCAGCCAAGATCTAACATTAGCTACAATATTCCTAGTACCACGACCCCTTCTAAAGCCAGCCTGGACTTTTGGATAATCTTCAGCTATCAGACAATGGGAGATAGATGTTGAAGGGAGTGGGTAGAAGTGGAGTCGTATCTTGATGGTTGGTTCAGCAAAGAAATAAGTGGGTCAGGACACTTGTGCCAAGGGCAGGTACAACACCAAAACTATTGGTTAATTCCACAATAAGGGATATATTATCACTTTTTCTGTAAAATGCTTATCTGTTAAATACTTCTCCAAATCTGAACCTTCAGATTCAGACACACTAGGAAGAAGGATTGGCCATCCGCTTCCAAAATAACAGGCTTCTGAAAACCTTATGTACAATGAACACATGTAGAATGACAGAATGGGCAACTGAGTATGGAAATACAAAGGAAGAAGAACAGTTGTAAACAGACACTAGTGACTGGAACATGGAATGTGAGAACCATGAATGTAGGAAAATTAGATATCGTTAAGGAGGAAATGGAACACATAAATATTGACATACTAAGCATTGGTGAGATGAGATGGACTGCCAAGGGGCATTTTGAGTCAGATGTTCATATGGTATGTTACTCTGGAGATGGAAAGATGATGAAAAATGGGGTTGCTTTCATAGTTAGAAAAGCTATTTCTAGATCTGTCTTGAAGTACAATATTGTGAGTGACAGGATAATATCCATACGCATACAAATAAGTCCAGTGAATACCACTATCATTCAGATATGTGCACCAACAACCAGAGCCAAAGAAGAGGAAATAGAAGATGTCTGCCAACTTTTACAGTTGGTGATCGAGCGTACATGCAATCAAGATGCATTGATAATAATGGGTGACTGGAATGCAAAAGTTGGGAACAGAGAAGACGAATCAGTAGTCAGAAAACATGGACTTGGTGACAGAAATGGAGCTGGAGATAGAAGGATTGAATTTTGCACAATCAGTTACTTATTCATTGCAAACACAAAATGATATATCTAGTACCTTTTGTAAAATTTATTCCAACCGTATTAACATTCCTCTTTTCTCTTTAAAATGTATTTTCTATAAATTCTGATTGATCTCTTTGTTACTTCAATTAAAATCAAACTCTAAAGATATTCACTCACATCGTCTTAAAAATAAGTTGTTTGTCAACAATAATGTCTGTTTTCTGAGACCAGACTTGTTGTTATTGTTGTTGTGTGCTGTTGAGTCAGAACTGACTCTTAGCTGACCCTCCAGTGGGTTTTCAGAGGCACAAGGGAGGAGATTGTCCACCTTTCTTCACTGAATCAACTGGTGGATTCAAACTGCATCACTTTGGAATGCCAGTACAGCTTCTTCTAGGCCACCCGATCTCTCTGAGCGAAGAGTTGTTGTTGTTAAGTGCCATTGAATCAAGTATGTCTCTTAGTGACCATATGAACCACAAATCTGGACTCTGACCTATCTCGTGGCATACTCACAATCTCTCAAAATTTGAGCTCATTGCTACACTTACTGTATCAACCCACCTGGTTGAGGATATTACTCTCTTTCATCATCCTTCCACCTTTGCAAACATAATGTCCCTGTCTAATGAATCACCGCTGCTAGAAATATACTCAAATTATGTGAGGCAGAGCTTTATAGTCTTTGCCTCCAAGAAGTACTCTGCACATTCTCCAAGATAAAGATATGTTCTTTTGACAGTCCATAGGATAGTCAGTACTCTTCTTCAACATTACAATTCAAAAGCATCAATCAATCCTTCTTCTGTTATCTCTCTTCACTGTCTAGTTTTCAGCAGTAAATGACTGAAATGATCATGGCCTGAGGGCAGAGTAGAGAACCTTTCCCTATCTTTGTTTATAAATGTGACTATAAAACAGAGGCATGAGTAAAAACAGAAGTAATAATGTACACTACTTCTAGTGTTGTTGTTTTGGTGATGGTGTATTATTGATTTGGAACCAACCCACAGCTGACCCTCTGGGTTTCAGAGGCAGTTAATCTGGGAGGATAGAACCTATGTCCAAGTGTTCATGGTACCTGAAGACTCTTTTCAGGCCTTGAGAGCTGGTGTAATTTGCTCTTTTGGTTTTTGAACTTTATTGGTTACCCTTAACTCTTTCCTACCAGTCTCCCATTTTAATTGGAAAAGTCTGTTTACCGGAAAAGACACAGTAGTAAGTTGTTTATCCTTTCTAGTCATAATTTATAGAAATATTCATAAGCTATTGACATTGTCATTTTTCCATATATTAGCCAGATGTTTGTTTATGTTTATGTTTATGTTTATGTTTATGTTTATGTTTATGTTTATATGACCGTACAAACTTCATATAGATAATTAAGAAGATTGGAAAAGATAGAATCTTTGTAAGATTATATAGAAACCTTCCCCACAAGCCCTAAATTTCAATGGATTGTTTGAATAAAAAATAAAGTTTTGCTCTTTTTTTCAGCTAGAGTGACCATCTCAGGGATGTAATAGTTAGCTAGTCTCACAAAAACCATGATATGCAACATTTAGAAATACAGTGAGGAAACTGATATTGAAGACTAAAATCTTGAAAAATTATGTGATGTAGTAGGAATACATCCACTAGAACAAAGAGCTATCTGGAAAAATTGATTAATATAGATTATAACTTGGAAGAAGTAGCTGAACCAAATGTGTGTTGTTATTTTTGTGTACTATTGGATCATTGGTCGCAAGAAGTGGTTGAAAATACCACAGCTTGTATCAGGCACACATCATAGCTGACCCTCAAGTGGATTGTCAGAGGCAGTAAATTGCATAGGAAGAGATTACCCATCTTTCTCCTGCAGAGTGTCTATTGAATTCAAATTGCTTGCTTTTGGGATATCAGCATAAATCTTGACACTAGGGCATAAAATAGATTAAACTATTATATTTAGCCCTGTGAGAGTTCTAGATTTGGGGTTGTCATTTGGATGAGTCAAGAGAAATAGGCTCTAGATGTGTGAGGACGAGAGGGTGTTAATCATAGGGTTACACAATATGATGGGTGGGTGGAGTGAAGGAAATGGAAAGGATCTTTTGTGAAAAACAATGTATTCAAACTTTGTAAATAAATCAGAGTACTATACTTTAAAAAGAGAGAGAGAGAGAGAGAGAGAGAAAGAAAGAGGCTGCCAACAAAAATTAAGAAAGTAAAGATGTTGCATCGGGGGGTCAGGAGAATGAAGAGGGCAATTCCTGAAGCAAAGGAGTTGGATCCTACTCAGATAGACCAAGAAAATGGGATCATTCAAAGCCATGAGCATAGGGTTGCCTTTTCTTGAAGACAGATATAGAGTCTAACGACCACCACTCAGAATCTAGAGGGCATGATCAAAACCTAGATCTGGAAGGGTAGAACCTATGTCCAAGTGTTCATGGTACCTGAAGACTCTTTTCAGGCCTTGAGAGCTGGTGTAATTTGCTCTTTTGGTTTTTGAACTTTATTGGTTACCCTTAACTCTTTCCTACCAATCTCCCATTTTAAATGGAAAAGTCTGTTTACCGGAAAAGATCAAAATCTGGTGCATTCAGTATGGATTAAACCTCAACATCAGGAAAACAAAAATCCTTACCACTGAGTCATATCTGTCATATATGGAGAAAAGAATGATATATGAGAAAATAGATGATATATGGATACAAACTCAAAGTTTTCAATGATTTATTTCATTTGGTTCCATGATCAACATTCATGGTACCAGCAGTTAATAAATGAAAAGACATCTTATACAGGGAAAACGTGAAATCAAGTACCTCTCTAAAGTACTAAAGATCAATGATATAAGTATAAACACTAACGTGTGCCTGATACAAGCTGTGGCATTTTCAACCACTTCTTATGCATCCTAAAGTCAGACAATGATAAGGAAGATTAAAGACGAATTGATTCCTTTGAATGGTAGTGTGGGAGAAGAGTACAAAATATCTCATTAATTTATAAAAAGAACAAATAAATTTGACTTGGAGGAAGTACAAACAGTTCTCTTTAGAGGCAAGCAATGAACAACTTTGTCTCACATACTTTGGTCAGGTTATCAGACAGTCCAGTCGTTGGTAAAAGACATCATGCCAGGATAGGTGGAGGGTCAGAGAATGAGTGGAAGACCGGTAGTAAGATGGATTGGCTCAGTGACTGCAAACATGGGCTTAGGTGAGTTAGAAATCTATAAAACGGCAGGGGATGCAGCAAGATTTCTTTCTGTTGTTTATATGTTCATTTTAAGGTGTTCAAATGCACATGATAACTTGTTGCTTATTCCACTGTTGTACTTTGAGTATAGAGAAATTGTTTTCTAGATTTCAAAGTCCAAAGAAATATCAATTGAAAGAACTTTTACTCCAGTATGGAACAGAATGAGAATCTCATATTTCACAATTAGATTATTCATAGGTTAGATTATTTATAATTAGAATATCTGTGACCTTTGGTTAAGGAGTTTTACAACCAACCCAAAGGCAGGTGGCTCAAATACACCATCTGTTCTATGGGAGAAAGATGTGTCATCTCCTTTCATATCATTTATGCCCTCTTAAAACCTGCTGGAAGTCATCTATAAATTGGTTCCACCTCAATAGTAATTAGCAATGTATAAATATGAACATAATGTTGTTTGTTGTTGTTGTTATCTGCCATCGAGTCGCCTGTGATTCCTAGAGACCCTGCTTCTATCCAGTGCTAATCTTATTGTCTCCAGCACACCTATCCGCATTACCCCCGTCACTAAATCAATCCACTCATCAAGGGTCTTCCTCTCCTACACTGCCCCTCCACCCTCCCAAGCATGATGTCCCTCTCCAAGAACTGATTCTGCCTTGCAACATATCCAAAGTATGTCAGACAAAATGCCAGAGTCCTTGCCTCCAAGTAGGAGCCTAGCTTCACCCTGTCCAGGATGAAATTGTTTGTTCTCCTAGCAGTCCATGGTATATTCAATACTCTTCCCCACCATCACAGCCCAAAGGCATCAATTTGCCTTATATCATCCCTAGTCATTGTCCAGCTCTCTGATGCATAGCAAGTAATTGCAAAGACCATGCTTTGTATCAGGTGCTCCTTAGTCTCCAGACTGATATCATTGCTCTTCAGTACTTTGGAGAGATCTTTGACAGCAGACTAACCTAATGAAATGCATCTTTTAATTTCCTGGCTGCTAGTACCAAGAGTGTTGATTATTGAGCCAAGCAAAATAAGCATAATAAATATAGAAATATAAATCTCCAAAAATCATTGCCTTTGAGAAGATGAACATAATAAACATATAAATATAAATCTCAAAAAATCATTGCCTTTGAGTAAGAAACATCTCAGAGCTACTGGTGGATTAGAACTGATGAGAATCAGGGTTCCAGTTGCTGGCGAGGTTGTGGAGAAACTGGAACCCTGATTCACTGTTGGTGGGAGTGTAAAATGGTGCAACCCCTGTGGAAAGCAGTATGGCGCTTTCTCAAAA